CCCTGGGAGACATTCCTGTTAACAAGACACATGGAGCTACACTAGAGCCCTGGAGGTACAAGAGCCATGTGGAGACGCGGGCCAGTGCTGAGGTGCTTCCACTGCCACTGGATCCACAAGACTTTCCACCCATGGGCCTGTGATCTTCCTGCATTCGGCATCATTGCATGTGTTTTGTGAGGCTGAAGAGGAATTTAAAGATTGGTATGGGACATATGGGCTAATATAGGATTTATGGACTTGATCTGGACCGGGCTGGGATGTTTTCTTAATATACAATTACTCTTTGATATAAAATTCTCTCTTACACATATGAGTCTTCTGGATTTGTTTCTCTACTCTACCCAGACTAACACATTATGGTACTAGGAGTGGGGTACTAGAGACACAAATCATAAAAATGGAGAGTGGATGTTTGTTTGACCTCTCCCTCATGGTGGTTTTTCTTCTTTGGCTAGCTGGAGGTCAGATATGTCCACGCAGTTCAATGGGTTGTTTTCTGGAAGGAATATGGGTAAAGTTTGATTATTTTGTTTGGTTGTAGTCTTTGATTATTCCTGTGTGAAAAGGTGAAAATGAATGTGATTAATGTGTATTTGAGCTCAGGGGACAAAATCGCCCCTTGAATTCTCAGAGCTGCTTAGTAGAAATGGCTAACAGAAGGTCAGAGTGGCTGACAGAAAGCCTGGCTCTGACTTGATGTTGTCAGAGGCCTAATCCCATATTTTGTATCAATAGAACAGTTTAGATAAGGATTAAGATAAGATAGATAAGGGTTGAACTAGACTATTTTAAGAATTGAGTTTAGGATCTGATTCTACTTTGTTTATACTGATTTATTCTGATTGTTATTAATATAATGATTGATAGAAATGATTATTGGGAAGTATGAAAACAGAGAGCTTGTAAGCCCACTTGTCTTCAGCCATTAAAATTGGATCGTTAAATGGGTGTCGGACATGCCTGCAAAGGCTCTGAAAAGATAAGCCCCACCCAGGGTCTTCAGTGCTCAGGACATTCGAAGGGGAAGAGACTTAGCTAGGGGGCTGTTGACAGGTGGAAGGAAAAAAGGAACTCTGGGTTTCTGAATTTTGAACCAGTGGTAATTTTTCAGAAGCTGGAAAAGATCTGGAAACATGAAGAAAACTCCTCGCTAGGACTGAACATTAAAGGGAGTCTGTGGGCAGGCTGAAATGCTTGCTAGGTGACCACCTGGATCCACTTGTTGAGTGCAAGTGGGAGAAAAGCAGCAATAGAGAGATGGGTTGAGGCTGGTCACTGACACCCATGGACCTGGTTTACAGGAGCTAGAGGAGAAGACGAGAGTGGGTTGATTGGTCTGAAGTCCATGACCTAGCACAAGGGAGTAGGGTTATTGAGAATTTGTAATGGGCTCATGGTCTAAAGGCAAGGCAGCCAATGGGCACCCTAGTGAGGATAAGTGAGCCATCCCATATTGAATTGACCAGTACCTGACCACATGAAGAGAAGATATTTGAGCCCGTAAACTGGGGCATGTTGCTGCTGACTTTATGCATGGGCTGCCCTGATTTAACTTTGTTTATCGATGTGGACTTCACAAGGTTCCAACTGGAATGAAGATTCTTCACGTCAAAGAATATGATTGTCTCCTCAGAGCACTGGGTTGATGTAAGTGGTCAGTATAGAAATTGGATACCCAAAATGGGTGGATAAAGGCATGAAGTGGCCGACTTACAAACTTTCATAGGTGGGGGAATATATTCATATGCTCGCATGTTCACAGGATTATGGTGTAAGTGTTCACATAAGTATAGAATATTTTTGCTTTGTTCACATATATAATGTTATGTTTAAATGAGGGTGGCACATTTTTAAATTGTATGCTTTTAAGTTTTATCCTGTTAGGTAGAGATATTATTTTATTATTGTTTTGTTAAAAATTATGTATGCCTGATGAGTTGTTTAAAAGTGTCAAGTTGACAAGGGGTGGACTGTGGTAGTTTCATAATCTGGTGTCAACTTGAGAAGGTATGGAGTCTAGCCTGTCAATCAGGTCGCAGCTTGATGACCTCATTTGGAGACACCACGGAGATAAATAACTCACTGGAGGTAACACACACACACACACTCCCCGAGAGACATTCCTGCTGAAAGACAAAGACATATGGAGCTACATTAGAGCCCTGGAGCTGGAGAAACCACGCGGAGACTCACGTCAGCACTGAGATGCTTCCAATGCCACTGGATTCACAAGATTTTCCACCCACTGGCCTGTGATCTTCCTGCATTCGGTGTCACTGCATGTTTTGTGTGAGTCTGAAGAGGAATTGATAGATTGGTATCAGACATATGGGCTAATATCGGATTTATGGGTTTGGACTAGACTGGGTTGGGATGCTTTCTTAAGGTACAATGATCCTTTATATAAAACTCTCTCTTATACACACATGAGTTTCTATGGATTTATTTCTCTAGTCTACCCAGACTGACACAACGCCCTTCTTCTCCACCCGGAAATCGCTTCCTCTAAGACCCAGTTCAGATGTCAATCAAGAGGCAACTGCGTGAACAGAACAAGTGAGTATCACCTGGTTTAAAATCCGGGAAAGTGTGTGTCAGGGTTGTAGCTTCTTTCCATACTTATTCAATCTGTACGTGGAGTAATAATCAGAGAAGCTCAATTTTATCAAGAATAATCTGAATTAGAGCAAGGCCTACTAGCCGCCTGCGCAAAGCAGATGACACAACCTTGCTCTCTGAAAGTGAGGCGGACTTGAAGCACTTGCTGGTGAAGATTAACGATTGCAGCCTTTAGTATAAGTTGCAATTCAAAACCCAAATAGCCTCACAATTGGACCATCATGTTAAATGGAGAAAAGGTTGATGCTGTCAAGGATTTTGCCTTCCTGGGATCCAGTCAATGTTGTCCACGGGAGCAACAGTCAAGAGATGCAACGGGGCATTCCCTGGCATACATCTGCTACACCAGACCTTGTTAGAGTGGTGAAAAGCAAGGATGTTACTCTGAGGACTAGGCTGTGTCTGACCCAAGCCATGGTATTTCAATCACCTCATATGCATGTGAAAGTTGGGCATCGAATAAGGAGGACCAAGGAAGAACTGATGCATTTGACTTATGGTGCTGGTGACGAATATTCAAAGTGCCGTGAACTCTCAGAAGAACAAACACATTTGTTTTGGAAGAACTACAACCAGAATCTTCCTTAGGGCCAAGGATGGCAAGACTTCATCGCACACACGTTGGACGTGTTGTCAGGAGAGACCAGTCCTGGAGAAGGACATCCTGCTCGGTAAAGTGGAGGGGCGGTGAAGAAGAGGAAGGCCCTCCAGGAGATGGGCTGACAGGGCGGCTGCAGCAATGGGCTCAAGCTCAGGAACAATGATGAGGGTGGTGCAGGACCGGGCACTTTTGTTCCATTGTGCATGGGATTGCTGTGGTTTGGAATTGACTGGATGGCACCTGACAACAACACAGGCCCGTTCAGATGTCATCCCTCCCCCAGAGACATCAGGAGGAGCCAGTGACAGTTCTCGGTGCAACCATGGAACCTGTCACACGGGGTAGGGGTTATGTGTTTCCACAGCTGCTCCCCCAACTACACCGAGAGCTTCATACTCATGCTCAGACTTCCCTGGTCTCCGCTGGTACCAAGCAGCACGGTCCTTGTGGGTGAGGCAGGGCTCAGAAGACAGCTGTTGAATGAAATGAGAAAAGATACGCATACATAAACAAACAAATGTCCACAGGCCTAAATGGAAACAACGCAGATTAGAACAGAATGCAGGCAGACGAACATATGATTTCCTGTAGATTGAAGAACTTTATTTTGTTGTACAAAGAATAACTTGTTGACAGATTTGGAACACTATGCAGAAAGATACTTTGTTGGTAGGGAAGGGGGTGGGAGAGGGAGGCCCCAGCGCATGGCTTCACTGGATGAAACTTTTCCAAGAACAACACTGCTGGACAATTTTGCTGAGTCTCCCCACCTGAGGTCTAGCTCTTTCTTGCCTCTGTCAAAGAATATGAACAGACTGAGATGCATGACTTCGTTTTTGTTTTTTGGATTCTGAAACTAATTTTTTGCGCCCTAAGCGAGAAATCCCCTTCAGGGGATGCTGACTAACTCCTCCACACTGCGGGGATTCATTCTGATCCCAGGCCCAGAGTTCAAACCAAATCACCCCCAAACGATTCCTAAACCATCTAAGTTCAAAACTAACTCAAGCGTACATTCAAGAAAGCCAAGTCAACTGATGACTCGGCCGTTATTTCTCAGGTTAAGCCCAATCTTCTAATTCTCTGCTTTGTGGTGCGGGGTCTGGAGGTTGGTTGGCACACCTGCTTGGCCAGTAGGGCAGACTAAAGCAGTGCCTGCCTGGTACCTGGTTGGTGCCTGGATAGTGCGAGATTGCTCCAGACGCTGCCGCTCACCGCCCTCCCAGGCCTTCCATAGTGAGCTCACAGCCGCAGAGCCAGCAGGACCAGCAGCGCCCCATCCTCAGCGATGGCTGCATCCCGCTCCAGGCGCCGCCCCCCAGAGCTCCGGAGGCGCCTGCCCTTGTACAGCAGCGCCCCCACCAGAGGGGAAGTCCCAGCTCCACAGAGCTGCTGCGAAGCTTCGGAGTTCTGGGTTTTCGCACCTCTTTTCTCTGTTGCTTCCATCCATAGCTGTGAGAGCCACGCCTTGCAGTTAGCACCGTCATGATACCTCATTGTCCTCTTCCTTTTCATTCTCCCAAAATGGATAGCCATTTATTACGCTGACTGCGCATACAGGAAATAACTGAAGTGGTGCCTTTCTCTTGATTGGACCCTGACTGATACACTAAGTCATTCTGAAAAAGAAGACGCCTGAAAATGAAATTAAAAAAAAAAAATACAGCGCAGAAAATAAAGTAATGGTAAAGATACGTTGTGAAGAAATGTCTGGGATTAGGTAATCCACAAAAAACTCAAAAATTATATTCAAAACCTCTGGGAATAAACGTCATAAGATTGAAGGTTCAAAAATTAAATACAGACAAAAGACAAACTATAAATGGATGTAAAAATAAACAACCCAGAATCTAAAGTAACTGAAAATAAATAACTGTGAACTTAAGTAATTCTAAAACTAGATAACTAAAGACATTCCTCCTAAAAAGAACAAAACGTTTCACTCCGAAAATAAATAACTCGAATATTAAATAACTAATAAATTCTAGTCATTTTAAATAGTTAAATAAGTAACTGTACAAATAAATAACTTCAGTCACTAAAAATAGTACGTCTCTGAAAATCACTTAGTTGTTTATAATAGAAAAACTAATGAAAATGATTCTAAAACTGGGTTTAAAATATATAGACTTCTTAAAACAAAAGAACGAAGAAATGAGCCACACAATGATAACTCTAGAATAGAGTACCCTCGCCAACAAAGCAACCGAAAGCAGGACTTTTTTAAAGCTATGAAATGAAACAACTAAACAGAGAACTAAATGAAATGCAAGTCAGTGAACAACGAACAAGTGAAATGAAAATAAAAAAAGCAAATAGCTGAAATAACTCAGAATCAAAATAATGAATGACTAAAGGTAAATGCTTCCCAAGTTAGCATGGAAAACAATCCTCTCTGCAGAGAAACAAGCCGGCCCTAAGTAACACAAGCACTGGGCATCCAACTACAGAGCCTGCCAGGGCTTCTGACAGGGGAGTGACAGGGGGTTTAGATGGGCTTCCCCTCCTCCGGGGTTTGGGATCAGCGCTTCTCAACTGATCTTGTTTCCAGGAGAAACTTGGCAATGTCTGAAGATGGTTTTTTAAGGGGGATAGGTAAGGGTTGTCACAACAGGACGTGGTAACAGCAGCGTTGCTGGGTAGTGACCAGGAATGCTGCCCAACATTTACAATGCACACCACAGAGTCACAACAGAGACTTATCCAGATCAAGAGGCTGGATTGTGAAATAATTGTACTAGCGTGGAGAAGCCCCGGGCCATGCCCTCCAGGCCGGCCTCTTATGGATCGGAGAGCCCCAGTCGCCAGCCGGAGGTGGGTGCTGCACCCCTCAGCACCCACTGCAGCACGCTCTCTCCCAGTGAGAACAGCACGGGCAGCTCAGCTGAGCCAGCAGCCCACCGACAGGCGTCAAGGAAGGGTGTCTGAGGAAGGAGCGTCAGTTCTCGGGGAAGCGGTCCTTGGCCGTGTGGGCCGGTGGACATCCGGGCGCTGCCCTGGAATCCCAAGAAGAGGATCAGAGAGGAGATGTGTACGACACCCAACACGTGCATTCCTCCCCCATCCTCACCCACCTGTCTTCCTCCTGGAACTCTTCTCTTTCTCCCCGGAGACCCCCTCCCGCCGCCGGGACAGATCTGAGGGAGGCGGTTTCAGAACTGTCCTCCAGCGGGGAAAGCCCGGAGAGCTGGAAGGTGGAGGTGCAGGGGTAGAGTAGGGGTTAGTAGGGTACCGGGCCCACAGGGAGGGGCCAGCATGCCTGATGTCCCCCCAGCTCCCTCCAGGACCACGCCCAGCTCCCAGCAGGGCTCCCTAATCTTCCCCCCAACCAGCCACAGCTAAGGAGTGAGGTGGGAGGCAGGGCGCTGGCCAGGGAGGAGATAGGCCTACTTTGAAGCTACTTGGCCCTCTGGACAGTGACAGGCGGTGACCGGTGAGGATGATGGAAAGGGGGAAGAGGGCAGGGGGCGGGGAAGAGGAAGCAGGAGGCCCTTTGTACGGAACAAGAGAGGAGAAAATTACACTCAGAGCACTGCTCTCCTTTTCCATATCTTCCGCACCTTCACTTGCTTCAAAGATTTCCGTGGAGCTGATGTCCCTGCTGGAGCGGCCTGAGAAGAGAAGGGGGAGTTCTTGGGCGTCTGTGGGATGCGGAGGGGGACGCAGGCGCCTCTGCCAGGGCCCCGCAGGGTCCACACTGCCTGTCCTCGGGGGACCCACTCTCCTTCCTGGGCTCGGGGCCCTCAACTGTGAAGGACCGGGGGCTGGGACCCCAGAGCCCTTTCCCAGAGATTCTGTACCGGAGGCTAAGAAGAAATGTCTATTCAATGGCCCACACCTCTTTCTCCAGCCAAGAAAACCACCTCCGTCCCTATCGCTCCAGAGAAGGTAATCTACCCTCCTGCCCTCCCTCCTGCCCAAGCCTCTTCCCTTCCCTGCCTCCTGCAGGTCTGGGCTGTTAACCACAAGGTCGGCAGTTTGAAACAACCAAGTGCTCAAAGGGAGAAAGACTTTCTACTCCCATAAAGAGCTAGAGCAGCGGTTCTCAACCTGTGGGTCTCGACCCCTTTTGGGGTCGAATGACTCTTTCACAGGGGTCACCCAATTAATAACAGTAGCAAATTGACAGTGATGAAGTAGCAATGAAAATAATGTTATGGTTGCGGGTCACCACCACATGAAGAACTGTATGAAAGGGTCACACGGCATGAGGAAGGTTGAGAACCGCTGAGCTAGAGCCTCAGAAACCCACAGGGTCAGTTCTCACCTCTGCGATAGGGTCGCCCTGAGTCAGAATGGACTTGCCGCAGTGAAAGTTCTGAGCTATTTTCCTTTTCTGTCTCCTTGGCAGTTCCTGTCAAGTCATCCTGCCCTTTCGTGTGGCAAAATGAGAGGAACAAGAGAGAATATCCTGGTTTCTTCTCCAAAGTCACACCCACTGATGCTCTCTTTCACCCCAGGGCTGTGGCCGGCAGGACACAAAGGCTCTGTGCTTAAGGACCCACGGTGGGTCAGGAACTGAGTTGGACACAGATCCTATACAATCTTCCCTCCCCTCCCCCAGCACCTTCCAGCTACAGCTGGGGGGGGGGGGCTGCCTTTGCTCTATCTTAGGTCTTCTCCATATTCGTCCCCCCAGGCCATGGGGGTGCATGGAGGGGCGTCACAGGGGAAGAACACAGACCGGGCCCTGCAGGCCCCACCTTGAGAGTGTAAATGAGAGGCCCACTGCCCAGGGGGAGGACAGGGGCTTCAGAGTCCATCAAACTATAGTGTGGTGCCGACTTTGCACTGACAGACTGGGTGACCTTGGGCAGGTCACTTCACCTCTCTGCGTATCTATCCTCATCCCAATTTCGCATGAGCATCGTATGTGCTGTGTATGATAAGGACAGACTCTCTGGGTGTGGGAATAAGAGAGGTGGTCGCACCGTGGTTAAAGTGCAAACCGGAAGGTCAATTGTTCAATTCCACCAGCCATTCACCAAGAAGATGATGAGGCAGTCTGCTTCCTAAAAGACTTAGAGCCTTCAAAACCACATGGGGCAGTTCCACCCTGTCCGGTAGGCTCCTTATGAGCCCAGAATCAACTCAACAGCACAGGCTTGGGTCTTTTGGTTTGTTGTATTAGATACCATGTTCATAAAGTGCCTGGCCGATAAATCATAGGAACTCAATAAAGAGAGCCTGTTATAATTAATATTATTAATAACTAATAGCTCATGCCACAGCGGTACACTGTTATTCCTCACCTGTGAGGGAAAACACCTGTGGGTGGGGGACCAGTGTACAGGTATCACAGGGCTTGATAAACAGAGAGAACCTACCACCGGACGTACCACACGCACCACAAAGGCCTTGAGAAATATTACGTGGTGGCCGCATGCTCCGAACAGGAACCGCAGGGCTGGTGCTGCCAATGTCACACAGTATGTTAAGCGGATGAAGGGTGCAGCGCAGGGCCCTCCCCAGGCCGTGCGCCCGAGGAAACGGCAAGCCTGTGTGTGTGATGCAGCCTGAAGGATGGGAAGAGGGTGGTCGGACCGTGCCCGCAAGGACAGGAGAGTGTGCGGTCTCCTCTCAGCTGGTGATCTTCACAGCTCCTCTTATATAATAAATCCGACGTGGTTTAGGAAATTTAGTTTTAGCATTTCGTGCTTAGAGGTCCAGGTTTTTATTGTGTTTTAACAAACTCATGAATGAGTTTAAAGGATCCCCATCTGAAAACACACATTGGGTAAATTGCAGAGTTTCGAAGACATTTTGACTAGCGCTCTTCCCACCCCCAACCCTACTCTCTAAATTTGGTTTTTCCCTTCATGTCCACTAGATGGCGTCATGGGACCAATGTAAATGCAAGGCCGCTACCCGGCGCCACCTCGTTTGGTTCACCAAACCAAACCACATTCACTGCCGATTCTGATTCTGGCTCACAGCTACTCCATAGGACAGGGTAGAGCTGCCCCTGCGGGATTCCGTGACTATAATTCTTTTCTGAAGTAGAAAGTCTCATCTTTTTCCCGGGAACGGCTAGTGGTTTTGAACTGCTGACCTTGCGGTTAGCAACCCAATGTGTAACCTACCACACCGGCAGGGCTCCTCTGGATTTACAGGCACACATAATTTGTTTTTTTCAAACTGGATTTTTCTCTCTTCCTTACAATTACGTACACGACTCTTAGGGCGCGTCCTTTTCAGTTGGCATGTGGAGAACTGCTTTAAAATAATGCCTAATGTCCGGGCTTCCACCCACTTACCTTGCTCCAGAGAGGCATGCTGCGGCCCTCTAAGGAGTAATGAGGATCCACTTACACCGATCCGGCATGAGGCCAATGGCCTCATCAAATCCTCAAAGCAAGTGTGTGCAGAACTAACTCCATTTATTGCAAAATACATCATGGAAATCACGGAAGCACAAGCAACGTATCCAAAGATATGGGTTCTGTGCTCTTAGCCAGCGCCCAGGGGTAGGATTCTACACTTCCACGCAGGAACCCAGGGTCTGCCTCCCTGCCAACGCCTCTCATAGGAAGCCACCGCATCGTTGGTGGAGGCTCGCATGGCATGGTGTTACTACAATGCTGAAGAAGATTTAGGGTTCAGGGGTTGCCACACTCATGATTAAGGAAGGGCGGAGACTCAGCATATAAGCACCCCGCTGCTTTACTCTTCCCACGGCTCCTACCTGGAATCCCACAGGTGCTGAAGCCGGGGCCCTCTTTGCTGTTGGTAGCTGTTTCCATGTTTTCCATCCAAGACCCATGTTCCACTCTGTTGTCTTTGCTTTAGAAAAACAAACATGAGCGCTGTGTGTGTCCCAGCAAACAACTGCACTGGCATGGCCCCCTGCACGGACCAGCAGTTCACCCTGGGCTATCTCTGCCACCCGCAGTGTCTTCCCCCTTCTGACATCAGCCTAAGACCTGTCCCAGGTGTGGCAGTGTCAGAGGCATTCAACAGGTAGTGTTGAAGGGCCACTCCTCAGCAGATTAAACGGCTAACTTCTAACAGGCTGCAAATCCTAAAACGGGAGGGATGAGGAAGAGGAGGGATCTGCTGCCATCTTTCCAGTCTTCAAACTGCTCCCCAGCCCACCACAGCCCCTTCCTTCCACCTTTCCGGGCCTGAGAGTCCAACCGTTCTAGTCACTCTTTGAGGCTGGTGTGGTTCAAGGAAGAAGCGCAGTGCTGGGCACCCGAGGCCCGAAGACAAATAAGTTCTGAGCCCTGAGCTACACCTCATCCCCTTCAGCCAGTGCTTGCTGAGTAGATGTTCCTGGTTCGATGGGTCAAAGAGCATGCCGGGGACTAGATGGGGCCTGCGGGACACGGAACTCACTCAAGCAACCTGCATCCCCGGAAGAAGTCTCACAGTCTCACTCGTTGTCATGGAGTTGATTCCAACTCAGAGAGACCCTTTAAGACAAGCTAGACCTGCCCCTTGGGTTTCAGAGGCCGTAGATCACAGCCTGGTCAAGTGGACATACACCAGTGACCTTGGCGATTCGTAATCCCTGTTCCCCCGTTTTGTGAGCTAGCACCTGCCTCTTTGTTCGAGCTACCGTGTGGATGGATATTTTCCCTCATAATTAATTATAGGCTGCATGTTTCTGCTGCTGTACTTTCGTGATGGTTCCTGGAATGGAGGCTACAGTGCGTACATGTTACATTTTCTGTTGCTTGGTTATGTTGCAGGAACCCTGATAGCTTAGTGCAGCGGTTCTCAACCTGTGGGTCGTGACCCCTGGGGGGGGTGTCGAATGACCCTTTCACAGGGGTCGCTGAGGTTAGCAGCCCAAATCATAAGCCACTATACCACACCAGGGTCCTTGATTGGTAGCCTGGTGGGGAGAAAAACGTATGCATGTCATGAAGGTGTAACAGAGCATGTTAAACACAGGGGCAGAGGTACTCCTGAAAAGCAGAGAGGAGAGACACTTAGCGGTCGCCCAGACCCTCACCTCTTCCCACTACTGCCTTCTCTTTGAGTGACCTCTTTGGGGGGCTTCATCAGAAGTCGGCCAAATGAGCCTAGAAAACTAAAGGCGCATCCCGTACCCACCCGGGTCACAATCTGTGAGTTTATTCAACAGGCATCCCTAGTATCTTGAACAGGAAGGGGTACAGTTGAGACAACGGGCTCACTTACCACTTTTGGGTTCACGGGGAAGGATTCTAACCTTCCTGGGCCTGCTTCCTGGTGGCTAATAAGGGCATTCGGTTGAATGTCCCCAAAGGCCAGCACTCCTGACCCCTGGGTGTATAAAACGGTGGTCGCCAGCCTACCTTGGGGCTTGGGCTGTGAGATCGCGCGAAGCTGACGTTGAGGCTTGGTATTTGTTTAAATGCAAGCTGCAGCTCCTGTGTGGGTGGTGTTTTCCATTTCAGAAGTTTGTGAGGGGGCAGACCTGAGGTGGGGCCTTCGCCACTGAGACTGACAAGGAAGGGGTGGTGGGGGCTGGACTGGCAGGGTCAAAACTGAGGCTCCCTGTAACCTTCTGCCCAGGCGGCTCCGGCCAAATACAGTACCAGAAAAGCTTTTTATAACATTTCCCCTGCCCCGGCTGCTGGAATCTCTCCCTGGGGCCACCTAGCCTCCAGCCACAGTTATCATTTGCTTTCCTCTGGCTAAGTCACAGAGGAGCCCGCCCAGTGCCGGCCTCCCTCTTGGATAGAGAAAGCTAATAGGTGGGCAGGACCAGGGTGTGTGTGTGTGTGTGTGTTGGGGCGGATAGGGGCTCCTGTGAGGAAATAAGAGTCCATCTGCCTCCAAGACAGGAAGAGGGATGGTCAGGAGAGCTGGAGGTGGCGTGAGGGAAGCCGCCCAGCCAGTTAGCTTGAGTAGTAGGCAGGGCAGCCTCCTGAGAAGAGGAGTCCAGTGGGCGGTCTCCATAGGAAAACAAAGAAAACAGCCCGAAGCCAATGTTGCTAAGGGAGGCTTCAAAATGCCACACAGGACTGAAATACAGCAGGCGGCCCTGGAAAGACTCCCTGTGCTGGCATTGAGGATAGAGGGGGCTAACGAAGACGTAAGTAAATAAGAAATGCTCTGTGACAAGCTGAGTCTTAAAACAACAACGAAAAGAAAAGCCATCCTGTAGACGCAAGGTGAACTATCTGCAGCAATTGGCGCTTGAAAAAGAAAGACGAGAAATCAGTACGCACCTTGCATTTGCTTCAAACTGTAGGTTGTCTTGGCCTGAAACCAAAACCGCAAGGTCAGCCCTCTTGCACCTGAGTCGATTTGACTTGATTTTACACACATCTACACATAGGGACAGTCCTATCAAGATATTTGAAAAGGTGTCTCGCTAGCAAGTCAGCCCTGTGTGGGCTTCCTTGGCCCTGACAGGTTCTCCCACTTCTCTGGCCCTTCTGGCCGAGTTCCCAGCATGCCTTGCACCTAAGTCCATCCAAGGGTTGACAGTAGCTTGACTAATACGAAAGTAAGGAAGAAACGATGTCCCGGGAAGTGTTTTTGGCTGTTTTTTTGACCTCAGCCCAAACCTTCTGACTTAGTGAAGGAGAAAGAAAAATCATGAGTTCCTGGATGGGATAAGAATCACATTCTTTGCGCAGGTGTCCAGTTATAAAAATGACCCTAGCGGTGGTCCCTGTCTCCAACAGCTCCCTGCAGCACAAAGTCACACTTCTCAGTTGCCTGTCTGTGGCCCACCTCCTCCTCTCCATCTTGTTTCCTATTGCTCTACCCAGGAGCCACTGGGGCTATCCAGTAACCATGACTCAACAGGGTCCATTAGAAGCAACTCGGGGAAGGAAGCTTGAAAGGGCCCCAGGTCCACCTTTATTGCCCATGTCCCTGGCGCCCTTGCCAGGATGGAGTTCTCTGTGTCTCAGCCCACACCGTGTATGACTCTCCTGCTGCCCTCCCATTCAGTAGTAGACCGCCCGCGGGCACCCCCCCCCCACCCCGCCCACCCCAGCACCAGGCTGTCTCCCGAGCCAGTCCATCTCCACAGCCAGGTTCATTCCTCTCATCTGTACCCCTAGCCCCTTGAGTGCCCGTTTGCCCAGCCCAGAGTGGCCAGATGAAGATGCCTAATGACCCCCAAAGGTTGCAGCGTTGTGAAGGTAGGTATGTGAGGCCAACAGAATGCGTTTCAGAGTTTTGTCAGGTACTAGAGGGCGGTCCTGATAGCTGCATCTTCAAACCTGGGACTCCACCCCCGCCCCCTCCCTGGATGGCCTGGAGGCTGCATTCCACCCTGGGGGAGCCTGACCTCCTCTGGGCTCCAGCCCCAGGCCCTGGCTCCTGCCCAGGACTGACACAGGAGGCGGGGATGGGGGCTGTTTTTATCACTGGTGACAATTCACCAGACCAGACTCAGGAGACCCTGTTCTGCTGCCAAACATTGTGTGCAATGGGTCCTGAGTTTGCTGCCCTGTAAAAGAGAGGGGCTGGGCTGAACACCCCTGCCTGTGTTTCCGTTTGGTGGTTTTCTGTGTGTTGGAGTTTTTTCCTTCTACCTACCTCAGGGGTCTGGTTCTGACATGTGTGCCACAGCTGAGGGTCACAAGGCCAGGCCCTCAGCAGGATTGTTAGTGGAATAATTGTTATGCCCTTCTAACAGACCTTTGTCTTTTTGTGTGTGTGTAGTAGACCGGGGCAGGGTGGTGGGGCGGATTGAGTTAATGTGTCAATTGTAGTCTAAACTCAACATTGGTAAGCTTTCCGTGATCACCAAATAGACGTACAGATTCAACCTCTTCCCAGTTCGAATCCAGCAAGCTCTTCTGTTGAAGTTCATAAGAACAGACTGACCACCGCATTACCTGATTCCAAGCCTTCTGAGAAAGTTACAGTAATTAAATATCAAGGGAATGATGTCAAGACAGACAAATAGATCAATAGGACAGAAGAGAGTCCAGAGGTGGATTCACACTTACAAATGACCCACTAGAGAAATAACAGTCATTTCAACAACTGGAGATCAATCAGCAACATTTTGAATTTTGAATGATACTTCACACCATATACAAAATGTAATTCAAAATATATCTGAGTTCTAAATCTAAAAGTAAACACTATAAAACACCTAGAATAAAATATAGGAGCAAACGTAATCTACACACACAAAACAAATTTTAAGTGTATTTCATGAACCTTTCAAAAACCTTCTGTTCTTCAAAAGACACCATTACGAAAATGAACAGATAAGGCAGGTACTGAAAGAAAGTATTTGTGAAGTCACAGAGCTAATCAAAGATTTGTATTCAGGACATCTACCGCTCCACTAGGTGGTCAGTCTGTCCTTCCGTAATGGCTGTGATGATGCAGGCTATACCACTGGGGTTTCAGACACCAGCAGGGCCACTCTTGGGGGATTCTCAACTGCCATAGAGGCATTTTTGACTCATGGCGACCCTACAGGACAGGGTAGAAGGGCCGGGCCCCATGTGTTTCCAAGACTGTAACTCATCTTTCTCCGAAAGCCTCCCCTTTCTCTCAGCTGGTGCTTGCTAAATGCTGGCTTTGCACTTGGCAGCCCAACACATTCCCCATGATGCCACCAGGATTCTCACGGAGGGATTAGCCTCTGCGAGCCTCATGAATAGCAGTGGAACACTGACAGATGGAGTGCTGGAGGCTGAGCCCCGTAGATTGGAAGGCCCTAAAAATAGGGCGGGGGAAGAGCTGACAACTCAAAGGACAGTTGATCTTAAAGCAAACCTCTGGGGCCCTGCATTTGTCAACGGAGCCTGACTCAAAATGAGGAGGAAGAGCTGCAAACATCCATGAAGCGCCAGGAAGCGGAATGTACAAATATGAATCTAGGAAAATTAGAAGTCATCAGCGATGAAATGGAATGCATCAAGAGCTTGGAAATACGTTAGACGTGCATTTACCATATAGTCTAATCATCAAACTTTCAGGTATTCACCCAAGAGAAATAAAAACAGAGGTTCACAAAAGTCCTTTTATTCGAATACTCATAGCGGATATATTCGAAGGACTCAAAAAGTAGAAACAAACCAAGCGTTGAGTAACATGTCAATGGATAAAGAAATGGGAGTAGATCCCAAACAATGGAATGCTATTCAAAAATAAAAAGGGAATGTACTACTTACGGGTACTTAAAGCAACATGGATAAATCTCAAAATATTGACAGAAGAGCCAGACTCCAACCCCCATAAAAATACCCACTGTGTGTTTCTATTTATGGCATTCTAAGAAAGGAGAACTAGTCTACAGCACAGAGGGCAGATCAGAAATTGCCCGGGCAGTAGTGGAGCCTGGGTGGGGTGGGGAGGGGGTGTAGGGAGGAGGAAGGGAATCCAGCGGGGCATGGGGAAAAAACTTCTGGGGCTGATGGGTATGCTCATTTTGTTAATCTTGGTGACCCCACCCCCACCCAGTGGGTGTGTTAAAGTTGTACACTTTAAATATGTACCGTTTATGTCAATAATATAAATCAATACAGCATTTGGGGGGGGGGGATTCTATGTAATGGCTCTGTCCAAAAATTTCAATGAGCTAAAATTTTACTAAGCTAAAATACATTTGATAAGCTACATATGTAGCTCTGGCTAGCTTAATTCCATAGGTCTTGGGTGTATCCTAGAAATCTGCATTTGTAACAAGTCCTTCAAGTGATTCTGCTGCAGAGGCCTGAACTAGCCTTGGTGAAATTACCCATACAGATGTGAGGACCAAGCATTTCTTTTCCTCCTCCTTCTTCTTCTTTTAAAATCATTTTATTGGGCGCTCATACAGCTCTTATCATAATCCACCCATCCATCCATTGTGTCAAGCACATTTGTACATATATTGCCATCATCATATTAAAAATATTTTCTTTCTACTTGAGCCCTTGGTATCAGCTCATTTTCCCCTCCCTCTCTCATGAATCCTTGATAATTTATTTATTTATTTTTTTTGAATCCTTGATAATTTATAAATTGTTGTTATTTTTCATGTCTTACACTGATCGATGTCTCCCTTCACCCATCTTTCTGTTGTCTATCCCCCCAGGGAAGGGGTTATATGCAGATCATTGTGATCTGTTCTCCCTTTCTCCCCCAACCTTCCCCTTCCCCTCTTGGTATTGCTGCTCTCATTATTGGTCCTGAGGGGTTTATCTGTCCTGGATTTCCTGTGTTTCCAGCTCTTATCAGTACCGGTGTACATGCTCTGGTCTAGCTGGATTTATAAGGTAGAATTGGGATCGTGATAGTGGGAGAGAGAAAAGAACTAGAGGAAAGTTGTATGCTTCATCGGTGCTATACTGCACCCTGACTGGCTTGTCTCTTCCTCGTGACCCTTCTGTGAGGGGATGTCCAGTTGTCTACAGAGGGCCTTTGGGTCTCCACTTTGCACTCCCCCTCATTCACATTGATATGATTTTTTTGTTCTGGGTCTTTGATGGCTGATACCTGATCCCATCAACAGCATGACCACACAGGCTGGTGTGCTTCTTCCATGTGGACTTGTTGCTTCTCATCTAGATGGCCGCTTGTTTATCTTTAAGCCTTTAAGACCCCAGATGCTATATCTTTCAATAGCCGGGCACCATCAGCTTTCTTCATCACATTTGCTATGCACCCATTTTGTCTTCAGCAATCATGCCAGGAAGCTGAGCATCACAGGAAGTTGGGCATCAAGGAATGCCAGGTTATGAGAAAAAAGTGTTCTTGCGTTGAGGGAGTACTTGAGTAGAGGCCCAATGTCTATCTGCTACCGTGATACTTAACATATTTGCATAGATTTATTTCTCTATTATTACATATAAATATATTTACATATGTGCATGCTTGTTTTTAGACCTCTATAAATGTCCTTTGCCTCCTAGTTCTTTCCTCTGTGTCCTCTTACTTTCCTCTAGTCCCACTATCATGTTCGGCCTTCATTTGGGTTTCAGTAATTCCTTTTGATTATATTGCCCTTGATCAAACCCTACCAGGCATCCTATGCCCTCCTCGCCATCGATTCTAGATCACTTGTTGTTCCCTTGTCTCTGAGCTTGTTAGCTTCCACTTCTTTTCCCTACCACCCCTCTTCCAGGTCCCCCCAGAACTGTTGGTCCCGTTGTTTTTACCTCCGGATTGCTTATCCCGCCTATCCTTCCTAGATAGACATGCAGAGACAATAATAAACACAAAAACTAGGCTGAGCAAAACAAAACAGCAAAAAACCAAACAACAACAACAATAAAAACCAACGCCAAAAAAAGCCCCAAAGCCTACACATAGTTTCAGGTCTGTTTGTTGACCTTTAGGAGTGACAGGGAACAGATGACTCAAAGACAACTTTTAATCATTGGAAAGAGTGTCGTGACATCAGAGAAAATGGCAGATGGAAAAATACAGCCCCAAATTCTCTCCTCCATAAAAGCAAAGAGAAAACTGGCATGCACACACAAAAATGATCAGAGGCAAAATTTCAGAACCCTGGAAATTAACCAAAATCTGATAGCAATCTGGAGAACATGTATTCAAGGAAAACTGCTGAATCTCAGTATGAACAGTGAGCTGTGTGACATTTTATTTTGCCCTATTCCTATCGTTGGCTACCAGCTCTGTTCACCGTGGAAACCAAGCCTATCATCACGGTGCAACTCGTGGCTGGAGCTCCTCAAAGCCTCGTTCCCAGGTAACTGTCATTATCCTGGGTTTCCCTGGAAAACCCCCCTAGTAAGGCTGCCGGTATTAGACTCATCTTGGAGCTCACTCAGTGGGAACAATGCCTTTCTTCAGGCAGGGCCATTTGTCCAAAATGAGGAGAAATAAACTTCACAATAAGTTTTTCGTTTATGTATTCAATTTTTTAACTTTAACTCTTGAGGCATTGGATAGGAGTTGGGCCTAAAAAAGGGGACGTTTAGGAATGAGATGTCCGTAAGGACTTTGCAAAGCTCTGAAACATTCTGGGGCTCTGGAAGGCTGAACACATACACATCATCTGAAGACATGATGGTGAAAAAGCTCTTCATTTTGATTACCAGAAACAATAAGGTACACAGTCAAGGAGCACAGCAAACTCCAGGCAGTTAAATGCACAGAGATCCATAATCCACACGTTATGATCTCATTTCAAAAGATCGAGAATCTTCAAACAGCAAGAAAAAAGAAACCAGTGTGTACAGGGACCTTCAAGAAGTCTGACAGGCAGAAGGCAGTGGGAAGACATATTCAAGGTGCTACCAGAAAAAGAAAGTCAGCTAATAATTTTATATTTGATAGTAGCTGATTTTACATAAGCATGCCCAATGAAATGGAGACAGGAGAGTCTTTAAAAGAAGTGACGTTGGGCCAACTGGATCTCCACAGGACAAGAACGAACAGAAATCTCTCTCTTGTGCTATATATTAAACCCCCCTCAAGCTGGATCAAAGGCCTAGATGTCAGGCGTAAAACTATAAATTCTGGGGAGAAAACATTGGTGTAAATCTTCATGACCTAGGATTAGGCCATGACATGCTAGATATGATATCCAGAGCAAAAACAGTCATGGGAAAAAGTAGATAAATCAAGCTCCCAGTCCTCCAGAGGACACTATCTATACAGAGTGGAACGACAACCCACAGAATGAGAACAACATTTGCAAATCGTATGTCTGAAAAAGGTCTCGCATCCGTTCAACCACAAAAAGCAGAAAACTCGATTTTTTAAAATGAGCAAAGAATCTGAAGACAAGTTTCCAAAGAAGAGCTACAAATGGCCCAGGACAACTTGACCAATATCCTTAGGCGTTGTTGTTGCTGTGTGCCACTGAGTCAGCTCCACCTCACAGCGACCCTACGTTGTCTCTGTGGGGTCTCCTGCACGGTAATCTTTAGGAGACAGAGCCCTGGCCGTGCAGTGATCAGCTGCTAACCCACAGCTGCGTCAAACCTACCAGCTGCTTATCAGGAGAAAGATATGGTCATCTGTTTCCTTGAAAAAGCTAGGAGATGGTTCTACTCTATCCTAGAAGGTTGCTGTGGGTTGGGATCAACTCAGTGGGCAATGTGCTTTTTTATCTCCATGTGAGCCGGTCACCAGGGCTTTTCTACCACAATGCTGCTTCTTCAGGAGGGAAATACAAATCAAAACCACAAGGAGGAATCACTGCACACCTCCTAGGATCATTATAATTTTTAAAAAGATGGCCAGTAGCAAGTGTTGGGAAAGGATCTTGGGGAAACTGAACCTTCCTCCATTGTCGATGGAACTGCAGAGTGGTGAGTGGTGTGGCCATTGCAATGGATACTAGTTTGGCAGTCCTTCAAACACGGAAGCACTGATAGTATTCGGCAATTCTATCCCTAAATATACACTCAAGAGAAATGGAAATGTATGTTCACATAAAGACTTGTCCATGAATACTTATCTCAATGTTATTCATAACAGCACCAAAGATGGTACCTCCATACAATACAAAAGAATGGACTGCCACCATGGGTGAACTTTGAAGACATCATGTTGAGAGAAAGAAGTCAGACAGAAAGGGCCATATTGTGTATGATTCCAACTATATGCGGTCCCCGGAGTAGGAATATCGATAGAAATGGGGGCTGGAGGGGAAGAGGCGCATGGAAAGTAACTGCTAATGGATACAGGGGGTTCATTTCTCTGCATGACGATGTTCTGAAATCACACATGGTGATGGCTTGCCAACTCTGTGGGGAGACCAAGCCCATGGAACCAGGCCTTTTAAAGGGGCGCATCTTACAGGGTGAGAGTTCTGTCTCATTTTTTTGAACTCTTTTGAATATGTAGCATTTTCCAGGGTGGTCCTGCGAGTTTTCGTTAAGAAAGGCCACCTTGACAATTTGGTTTATGTGGGGACCCCAGGCAAAGGCACACCCCCCCAGCCAAGCAAAGCATACCGTGCAACCGACAGCGAGCACACTGGTTCCCGGGACGGAGAACATGCCCGTGGTCACAGTTTAATTTCTTGGGAAATCATTTTCTTGGACCGAATCCTCAGTATGCTCACCCATCCACTGGGATCAGTGTAACTCTGCAGACCAAGGTCAATGGTGGTCACCCTACCTTTCACACCGCTTTGTTGTTCCATCAGTAATTTACTGATTTCTGAAAACCAACAATCTCTAACTTCTTTGGATGTTGCCTGCAATTACAGATAAGAAAGCACTGTGAGTGTCAGGGCACTCTGATCACTGCACGAGGCTTTGCTACTCTTCAGACGACCTTTAAAATGTGCAGATAGAGTGGGTGAAGGGAGACCGCGGTCGGTGTAAGACATGGGGAAATTTTTTTAAAAATATAAATCAGCTAGGGTCCATGAGGGAGGGAAGGTGGGGGAGGGGGAAATGAGGAGCTGATATCAAGGGCTTAAGTAGAAAGAAAATGTTTTGAAAATGATGATGGCAACATATGTGTGAATGTGCTTGACACGATGGATGTGTGTATGGATTGTGATAAAAGCTGTAAGAGCCCCTGATTAAATGATTAAAAAAAACACCAAAAACAGCTAGAAAACACTCGTCCAGAGGTGGGAGCTCCTTCAGGAAAAAGGCGGGCACACGATGGGCAGGCTTTACCTGGAGGATGTATTTCTCAAGTCCGTTTCGACTGGCAATTTCAAACTTCTTGTTATTCCCTCTCCCGACTTCATGGATCGAAAGTGACGTCAACTAGAGGAAACAGAGAACTATCTTATGTGATCACTTTCTGAGTGTGAAAACTGGTAGCCATTCTAATCCTTTCCACCCTTGACAACTGTCTTCTCCCATGGGTCCCCCAGGTGTTTCGTTTCCCTATTCTAATGCCCCCACCAAACCCAAACACCCAGGTCAGTTGTCTTGAGCCCCACGTGCTTCAGAGGGTTTTCAGGGGTTCAGAATCAGACTGCCAGGACTTTCTTCCTAGGCGCTTCTGTTTGAACTGCCAACCTTTAGGATAGAAATGGATTGCTTATCCATTTACATCCTCCAGGGACTCCTTCTAGTGGTCCCATGAACACAACGGGGTACCATCTGTCTTGTCTGTTTCCAAGGGTAACGTGAACTATACTTGCCTCTTTCCCTCCGTAGAGCAATCACCGTCAGCGGTTGGGAGAACATCATCTCTCCTTTAACACCTAAGTACCGAGAAACCTGGGAGTGCAAACTCGCAAGACTGCCTTCTTTCTCCCAGTATCGCAAATGGTTTGCCTTTGGCCGGGGGCACTCTTGCCACTTTTCCATAGTTCTCTTAGTGGAAAGATTTTACTTTTCCTCGTCTTACAGGTTTCCAAGGAGGAAAGATTTTACTTTTCCTCCTCTTACAGGTTCCCAAGGAGCCGTGGCAGCACAGTGGCTAAGTGTGTGTGCCAATGGCAAGGACATGCTGGCAGCTCCACGCCCCCAGCTGCCCTGCAGGAGAAGCCCCTGGCAGTCTGTTTCTGTAAAGGCTTAGCATTGGAAACGCTGTGAGGGCAGTTCTACTCGGTTCTATAGGGTTTGGTTGGAGAGGGTTCCACCTGATTCTGGCCCCATCTTTTGTAGGTTTTACTGCTTTTCACAGATCTCCACAGAAACGGTAACTGAATTCAGAACTCACTGCCATCTACTCCATTCCCACTCATAGCGATCCTCTGGGACAGGGTGGAGCTAGCTGCCCCCGTGGGTTTCTGAGACTGTCATTCTTGACGGGAGTAGAAAGCCTCATCTTTTTCATGCAAGGTGGTTTCAAACTTCTGACCTTTGGGTTAAGAGCCCAGAACTGAACCACTATGCCACCAGGGCTCCCAGGTAACTGAATTAATATCCATTAAAACCATAAACAAAAAGACTACTATGAATAGTTCGACAGTTTTAATTACAAAATCCCCCACATACGTTTAAAAACGGTGTGTGTTGATACAGTCTTACAGCTAAGAAACATTTTTTTGTACAAGCAAGAGACAGTGCTTGCTCAGGGCATGAGTTCCTGCCCACCCAGGGTCAGCATGCTACCTACAGTTACACACAACGAGGCCCATTGAAAGGGGCAAGTAGAAGCTGAAATCCAGTCCAAGCGCCAATCACTCATTTGCCTTAGGGGAAGGAGGGCATTTGCTCTGACTGGTTTGCAAGACTGGCTGCCATCTGCCCCGTGTCTCTCCTTTGCCCCCAATCCTCTATGCCGGCCCTGCCCTGGAGAAAGACCGGCCACTGTGTGCATTCTGGTTCTGCTGTTTGGCAATTTCACTTGACCCCTGTAAACTTCAGTTTGCTTACTTATCTCTCCCTAAAAACCAGCTGCCATCAGATTGATTCTCTCTCCTGGTGACTCCACGTGTGTCAGAGTATCACTGTGTTTCGCAGGGCTTCCAATGGCTGGGGTGTTTTTTGATTTTGTTTTTATCAACACTAGATCAACAGGCCTTTCTTCTGGGAGGATTTGAACCTCCAACCTTCTAAGAGGGAGCTGAACATGTTCACTGTCTGGACCACCCAGGTACAATAGAACCCCTTACCTTCATAGACTTCTTAAAGCTGTAGTGAGGAGATAAGCCCCCGTCCCTGGGCTCCACGCGTATCTTACAGAACATGACTCCTCTTTCAAGCAGATAGATTTGCCTCTGGCTGGGTTTAAAGCGCATGAAGTCCTTCATCGTGTAGCGCTCCTTGTGGACCGTCCAGACGTTGAAAGGACCGTGCATCAGCAGCTTGCCCAGCTTGCCTATGTCATCCTTTTAGAAGCAGACACAGAGAAGGAAGCCGTCCCATTACTTGAAAGAAAGTGTTTCAATGAAAACACATGCCTATTAGAGGCCTTTCATCTTCAAAGTGCGCCTCGGGCTAATCTATCACAAAATCAAAATGACAACGGTTGGGAGCCTCACGGGCTCTATTCGCTCTGTAAAACATTGGATTCAGTTGTGTGATGTAGGAGACAGAAAAGCAGACTAGCGATGTTTGACTAAAGATACGCGTTCACTGATAGTTTGGTAATGAATGAATGTTGGTTAGCTGAGCTTCATTCCTCCTACTTTTCTCCCCCCACCCCCTTCCCGACCATGCACGGCCTTCAACGGGGCAAACCGTGACCGTTTTCATTATGATCCAGAGAGGCAGACATTTTGCTGGCCATCCTTGGGTTCCACCTGCACTCTGACCTGGTTGCAGGCATGAGACCGACCTTAAGGCCATGAATTTTGCTCTAAGGAGAAAACTCGCATGATGTAACATGAATGGACGGTGAAGAGATCATGCCAAATGGCAGCTATTGAAAACACACCAAAGAGAGTCCACTTGGCCTGAGGGTGTGCAAGTCTGATGCCCCTCTCTCCATCAACAAGCCCAGTGTCCTCACGCACACCGTCCACATAGGATGGCCCCACTGCCTCTCATCAGGGAGGGCCCTTGCATTTTATCTGGCATTTTCCCAAAATTGAAACACTTATGAGCATACATATCTTTATAAACATATGTGGTTCCCTGAATCCAAGCGCCAATGAGAAAATGATTTAGCAGAACCAGGACAGAGAAACTGCCCTGATCTACATCTGAGACAATTCCCTGTGACTCCTGAAAGCTAATACTGAGACTATGCACATTGTTTTATAATTGACCAGGCATTGTTTGCCATTGGTTGTTCTGCAGTGAACTATGAACATCTTTAAAAAAGGAATGGTCTGTATTGTTGAATTGTCAAATGCTTTGTTATATATGTTTACTGCAATTTTTTAAAAAGGGAGTTGACCATACTTCTGAAATTTTAAAATAAAAATTCCCAAGAGAATCATGGTGCTTTTACTATTTTTCTTATTTCCTTTTCAGAGTTTTCTTGGTTATTGTATAGGAATCCAACAAATTTTTGTTGTTGTTGTTGTTGTTGTTTTTTCAAGTCCCAGGAGTTTTTATTGTTTGAATAATCAGGCAGAGCAGTCCCCAAGGAAATGGTGGTCACGTTTCACTGGTTTCTGTCCTTTGCGCCTTCATTTTCTAAGCATGTAGACATTTTTCTATTTACCCTCCTAGGCATTTATTTTGATCACAAATGCTCCAAGTGTGAATAAACAAATGTTTTTTATCCTCTACTTCCCCCCACGTTCCTTTAAATAGGAAACAAAAATGGTGCTCAATGTCTTCTCAGAGCCTCTGTGGCCATAGTTGTCCCACCATTGTCTTAAAGACCAACTATGACTTGATCTTCCCAAATCCTTCTTGAACTCGGGCTCTTTCTGCTAAATCCAGGGGCCGCAGTCCTCACTGGTATTGTTGACAGTCTCCAAAAGCTGAGGATGGTCACTGGGTTGAAGGCAACTGGGAGGGATCTTCAGCAAACTGAGGACATTGTGAAAGTGCGTAGAGGCAAATCTTGTCAACAAGATGCCACCTCCTTCCATTAAAGCTAGGAGAATGCCACCCATTGTTTTCATCCATTTTTGACTTTCAGTCTGTTTATGTTCTCATATCTAAGGAATGATTCTTGTTGGCAGCATATGGGTGTATCCTATTTCCTATCCAAGCTGTTAATTTCTCCTCTCTTGACTTGTACATTTAATCTATTTACATTCAAGGTGATTGTCGGTAAATATGAATTTTTGGTTTTGATTTTGTTGTGTGTATTTTTGTGCTGTTACTAATGTCTTTGTTCCACATAATTTTTTTGTGCTGAATTCGTTTGTTTTGTGGGTTTTCTCATCATTTTTTTTCCATTTCTGTTGTTTTAATGTTTAGTAAATCTTTACAACAGCATTTTTCTGTCAGTTTGTCATAATGTGATAACCTGCGTGTTACTGTGATGCTGGAAGCGATGCCATGGATATTTAACATACTAGCAGGGCCATCGATAATGCATAGTGCTTACCTGGTTGGATTATATAAATTTGTTTGAGAAAAGAAAAAACAAAGTCCCATTCAAGCTTTACGATTCAACTTTGGAACTTGCTGCAACTCAAGATTTAAACAAACTCTATTTTAATTATGTATTGGGTTGAGCAGAGGGAAAACTATTCTTGGCAAATGGAGAAAAGTAAAATTATATCTCAGCATTTCATAAAGCAAATTATAAAAAAAACTTCACTTTTGTGACTATATTAAATCAAGATCTAATTAAGTGCACATGACATAAAACAAATGTAGGTATTGGAAGAATTTTTTCCCTACTTGCTTAAATTACAGATTCACCCATCCAAAGAAAGGGATTTTCAAGGAATCTGTAAAGCCCTGACAAGCATTACTAGAAATCCTAGCAGGAACATTTTGGACAGAGACTCAACAGCCAGACAAATCTGAGAGGAGCACACAAAACAACAACACCCAGAAACCTACACACTGCAAACGGTACTCAAAACAACAGAACCACACACACACACACACACACACACACACACACAACCTACACATAGCAAAATGACACCAACAAACCCACATCTATCAACAATAACACTGGATGTTAATGGCTTTAATATACCAGCCATCACATCTGAAAGGTAAATGCAGACTATTGTTCAGGAAAAGTATAACAGGGGTCACAGAGTCCAATGCCATGTTGTCAAACACATCTCATAATATACAGACCAATATATTTTATGTACAGGGGTCTCAAAGAACACATCCGATGAAAGTAGAGGAGTCACTTCATAGCACAACTATAAAAACCATTTTAAAGGAGTCCAGAATAATGAGAATAATGGTCCAGGTATATACCTCTCTAGCGACTTTTACTAAATTGGATGGTGTTATTGAAAGTGTCTTTCAAGGGGAATTAGCCTTGCTTACAGCTCTGGTGAAGAGGTGAGCTTAGGCAGCAATGTTTGTGTACCTTACCATGTCTGAATTTTCCTCTTAAGATAGCCACATCACCTTGATCAAAGGGATGCTACGCTAAGAAGGGACAGCAGTTGACCATGGAGCCCAGTGGGGGAAAAAAGTACCAGGTAACCGATCTAACCCTCTCTGAACTGAGGAGAACTAAGAAGGAGGTTCAAGTAGCAGGAGTTATAGCTGGTAGGTGTTTTCTGAGAGGCAGGTGGTAAAATAAAACAATAAGGAAGCAGAGTTATAAAGGTGAGTTGCCAGAAATTATGAGGAAGAGAAAAAGATCTTGAAAGAGAGAAAGAACTAGTTAGTGGGTGGTAAAAAGGGAGGAGAGCAGGCATATAGGGCATAGCTGGCACATCAAAGGCAGAAACCTTGACTCCCTTCCCCAGACCAATGTCCAAGAGCTGCCATGGGCCATGGAATGGCCCAGCTCCCAGCTCTATGATCCCCTGAGCCTCCCCTATTTTCTAGCTCTTCCCGAGGCTCTGTAGGCCTGCAGCTCCAGCAAGCTCGTCATTGGAGGCCACAGGGAGCAATGCTACAACAGATAGGCGAGCCATCCTTCAGGATGTCTCATGTAAACTTTCTCAGGAATACGTTCATGATGGGATTGGAGATCTCCATGCTCCTGGCCATCCTTCAGGAGGTCATCTGCTGGGCACAGTGATGATGAAGGGCAGACACCCACACTGGACTCTCAGCCAGAATGTGGGTCTTGGGGGGGGGGGGGCACCCCCACCTCCAAAAGGAAGTAGGCTGGGGATTTCCTAAGCAGGATCAAGGATACCGCTTGGATATCTTTCCCACTATGTGTATCTTGTGCCTCTAATCAGACTGTAGTTGGTCCTAAGGCCAGAGACCACATGCAGTCTCTTGCAAATACTTGCCCGCTGTTGCTGCTGTTGTTAGTTGCCACTGAGTAGATTCCAATTTATAGTAAGAAGTTCTCCACTGTGCTTTTGTAGGCCTTAATCTTTATGGAAGCAAATCACCCTTCTTCCATGATGCTGCTTGGTGGGTTTGAACCATGAACCTTTGGCTTAGAAGTAGAGTCACAAACCGATTGTACCACTCAGGGACCCACTTGCCCCCTGGTGAGTATGTACTCATTTATTGGTATTGAATGAACATCTAAACTCCATCAAACCAAACACACTTGATTACGTCTCATAGCAATCCAATAGGAGAGGGTGGGACGCCCTGTCTGTGTTTCTGAGAGTGTTACTCGTTACTCTATGGGAGTAGAAAGCCTTATCTTTCTCCCATGGAGAGGCTGGTGGTTTCGAACTGCTGACCTCAAGGTTAGTAGCCCAATGTGTAACCACTACGCCATCAGGGCTCCTTAATGAACACTTAAGGGGCATGGAATCAAATGCTCAGCACTGTAAGGAATCTCTGATTTATCCAAGAAGTTAGTTCAGTGATGTTCCCTCACTACAAAACTAATTTTTCTCCGGTGATCAAATAGTTTAGATATCTCTTTGGCGTGCTAAAGAAATGAATAGATGCAGTGGTTCTCAGCCTGAGGGGTTGAACGACCCTTTCACAGAGGTCACCCAATTCATCACAGTAGCAAAATGACAGGGATGAAGCAACAACAAAAATAATTTTATGGTTGGGGTGGGGCATCACCACAACAAGAGGAGCTGTATTAAAGGGTCACGGCATTCGGAAGGTTGAGAACCACTGGACTAGAAGGAAGTCCAGAAATGGAACACACAGGGGATCTCAGAAACAAATAAGCTAATAAAATCAGACGGGTGTTTTGCTCACACCTAAAAATCTAAAGGTGACGAACCAGAATCAAGTGAAAGGGCCTGGATCGTCATTCCTGGCAGTGACGGCAGATCTGACAAAGGTGTGTCCTTCTTTATAAAGGAAGCATGAAACACCTGGGTTAAGGAATCAACACAACACCTGG